CCATCCCTCCACCCTCCCAAGCATGATGTCCCTCTTCAAGGACCTGTCCCTCCTTACAACATGTCCAAAGTATGTCAGATGAAACCTAAGAATCCTTGCTTCCAAGGAGCAGCCCGGTCTAACCCTCTCCAGGATGAATCTGTTTGTTTCCTTGGCAGTCCAGGGCACATTCAATACTCTTCTCCAGCACCACAGTTCAAAGGCATCAATTCTCTTTCTATCCTCCTTAGTCATTGTCCAACTTTCTGATGCACTGATTATCAATATTATTTAAAATATCAGATAATTTTGGATTAAGTTGAATTTTTTATTTCCACTTTATCTTGGCATTTCAGAGAATGCCTGAGCAGTTGTATATAAGCATACAAAATTAAAAATATATAGCTCAGAGATACTTATAGTTTATAGACCAATGAAGATACATTTACTTTTCTTTTTCATCAAGACATGCTGCCATCATAATTTGTTATTATAATATTTCATTGGGCTTTGGGTGTTACTTTACCCATCGAATTAGGCACCTGTTTAACAATTTCTATATGTATTGCTCAGTGATATTGATTACATTTTCCACAGTATGTCAGCATTCGCATCATTTCCATTCTAGTTGTCTTATTTTCTTTAATCTAGCTTCTTTGCACTCACTCACTCACTCTCTCACCTTCTTATCTTTGCTGCGGGGTATGTGTTAACTGTGTACTTCCAGCATTACACTGTGTTTTGTAAATGATCAAATTCCATGATTCCAAACCTTGTCAGTAGTCAGAAGTACATGTCAAGGTTTTCTAGAACTGTGAATTCCTGGGCCACAGCCCCGATCAATTTATTCCTACTCATTAAATATAGCTCTATTGTTCATAAGATTTTCCAAGGCCTGCTATTTCAGAAGCAGATAGTGAACCTTTCTTCCTAGTCTGTATTAATTTCCTTTAGTAAAGGATCTAACAGACAAGTGCTGTACCCCAAAAAGCAGGTATTAGACAAGCAAACATATATGTATCTAAGTGTATATATCGCAGAATATAATACATATTACACAGGAATCAGATTGATTATATCCATGGCAAGAATCACTGGAGAAGCTCAATATCAGCTGTGAAAAATAGACTATGTGCTGACTGTGGAACAGACCATCAACTACTCAAGTGCAACTTCAAATAGAAGCTAAGAAAATAAAAACAAATCTACAAGAACCAAAATGAGGCACTGAACACTAGTGAACAGAGACCAGATGAGCTGCGATATGGTATCAGGAATATCATGGATGAAGAAAGCAAAAGGTCATTACAAAGACAGAGGAGAAAGAAAAGACCAAAACGGTTGTCAGAAGAGACACTGAACATTGCACTAGAATGCTAAGAAACTGAAGTAAAGGGGACAAATAAGGAAGTTAAAGAGTTGAACAGAAGATTTCAATGGACAGCTTGTGAAGACAAAGCAAAGTATTATAATGAAATGTGCCAAGAGCTAGAGTCAGAAAACAGAAAGGTAAAAAGTTGCTTAGCATTTATCAAGCTGAAGAAACTAAAGAACAAATTCAAGCCTTGAGTTACAATACTGAAAGATGCTATGAGTAAAATATGGAATGATCCAGGAAGCATCAGAAGAAGATGGAGGGAATATACAGAATAACTGTACCAAAATGAATTGGCTGAGGGCCATTTAAGGTAGTAGCATATGGCCAAGAACCAATAGTAATAAAGGAGGACATTCAATTTACTCTGAAGGAATTGGTGAAAAATAAGGCCCCCAAGAGTTGGTGTAATACCAATTGATATATTTCAATAAACAAATGCAGGCCTGGATATGCTTACCAGGTTCTGAAGATGTTTTCACTTAATATGAAGTCATACTGGAGTACAGTATGCCTAATCCCATCTAGGGTGTGTCATCTGCATAACGCAGGATGAATCTCCCTCCAATCCTGATGCCACACTCCTCTTCATAGAGTCCAGCCTCTCAGATAATCTGCTCAGTTTACAGACTGAATAGGTATATAGAGAGAATATAACCCTGACACACTCCCTTCTCAGTTTCAAACCATGCAGTGTTCCCCTGCTCCATTCAAACAGCAGCCTCCTGGTCCAGGTATGGGTTCCTTGTAAGCACAATTAAGTACTTTGGGACTCTCATTCTTCTCAATGTCAGCCACGACGTGTTATGATTCACACAGTCAAATGCCTTTGCATAGTCAATAGAGTACAAATAGACATTCTTCTGGTTATCATCAATAACCTGCATTATGCAGATTATACAACCTGGCTTGCTCAAAGTGAAGAGGATTTAAATATTTGTTGCAGAAGATCAAGGAATGCAGCCTTCAGTATGGATTGCATCTCAATGTCAAAAAAGCAAAGATTCTTACCACTGGACTGATAGGCAACATCATGATGGATGGAGAGGAGACTGAAACTGTCCACAGCTTCATCTTGTTTGGATCCACAATTAAAAAGGTGGGTCTGAGTCAGCCGATAGTCTTTCCAATTACTATGCATCTGAAAGCTGGACAATGAATAAGGATGACAGAAAAACAATTGATGCCTTTGAGTTTTGGCGTTGGAGGTCATGGAACCCCCATATATGGCCAAGAGAATGAATAGATAGGTCTTGGAGAGGAGCAGCTGGAATGGTCTTTGGAGGCAAGAATAATGAGACTTTGCTTCACATACTTTGGGTGTGTTGCTAGGAGGGGCTATTTCCTGGAGAAGGACTTGATTCTGGGAAGGGTGGATGGTTAGGAAGGAGAGGAAGACCCTCAACCAAGCCCACTGTGTCAACCAGGACAGACACAGTGACTGCCACAATGGGCTCTTGTGTATTGGGAAGTGTGAGGATGGCAGAGGATAGAATAAGATTCAGATCTTTTGTTCATAGGGTCACTATGAGTTGTACTCGACTTAAAGGCACCTAACAACAACAACAATCCCATTTAAGCAATATTTTATAAAATATGAGGACAAGAGAGAGGATTTGACAGAGAAAGGAAAACTGTGTGACAATGGAGCTTGATGCAAATCAAGGAAACCCAGGGATTTCAGGGAGCTACCTGCAGCTAAGAGAGGAGTGGGACAGTTTTTCTCTCAGAGTTCTTAAAAGGAGTCAATATGGCGGAGTCTCTGATTTGGATTCTCATCCTCTATAATTGAGAGACAATACATTTCTCTATTTTGAAGCCTCCGTTTAGTGAGATTATTTTAAAGCAATCTTAGGAAATAAAAGTACATGAAGTCTATTTTATCCCAGCACAAATGAGTAAAACACGTGTGGCCGGCAATGAAGTAGCACAGTAAACAAAAAAACGCTCCAGGAAGGTAGTAAATAGGATATAATTAAATATAAAGGTAATAGGATCCAAGTTGAATCTTTGAAGAAAGTCCGTTATGGATTAATTCAGCACTGCGAAATAGCTCTGGACAGAAAACAATCTTTCACTATCTTTCATATTGTGATGGATTGAAGAGGAAATCTCACAAAAATTAGCCCAGTGCAATTATTAAAAAGGCATGTGATGTATTTTAATATTTATTTATAACTAAGATTCAAGGAATTAAAATCCTTAAAAATCTTTCCTTTTAAGGTTGGGAACACGGTGAACATTTACCATCAACAACTTCAATATAAGAAGACTTAGACAATGAAATAAAAGAAAAGCAACAAAACTAGAGACTGTGAGCATTTTAAGAGAAGAGGCAGACCTTCTCCCTCTACTCATTTTCTTCTTTATGTCATTTTGTTTTTGGCAGATATCTGTGCTCTGGCTGAAAGATGAGTCACAAGGTGAGTCTTAGTATGACTTTCTTTGTATAAGGGGCCTCTTGTCTTCTAGCCTAGAGGGAGTTGCACAGCTAACACCAGAGTCACACCTCTCTGGCAGTTTGAACCCACCAGTGACTCAGAGGGAAGAAAATGAGCAATCTCTCTACCAAACTGGCTGGAAGAGGTCCTTCAAGAAAGAAAACTACACTCAAACTCACTCTTGGAGGTCAATCTGAGTCCAAAACCAGTCAGGACTATTGGGGACTGAAAATAGAGAACACCAGAAAGATGTTTACTTGTGACTACTAGAAAGTATTTAACTGTGTCAATTGTAACAAGTGTGGAGTAATGTTGAGAAAAATGGGATTTCTAGACACTTAATTGTACTCCTGTGAAATGTGCACATAGACCAAGAAGCAATTGTTTTAACAGAATAAGGGAATATGAAATGTTTTAAAATCAGGGAAGGTGTGTGTCAAGGTGGTACCCTTTCTCCTATTCAATCTGTGTCCTCAGAAAATAATTCAAGAAGTTGGACTATATGAAGAATGCAACATCAGGACGGCAGGAAGACTCTTCCACAACCTGTGTAAAGCAGATGACACATGACCTTGCTTGAAGAAAGTGAAGATTACTTC